AAAATGAAAATAGATTAAGAAATTATTCACAAACCAATCTCATTTTCTTTTTAATTGATCAATTTGTTGATGTTGTTGTTTCTGTGTGACAGGCATCGCAGGATTCCTGATCCTTATCCCCCAATATCGTTCGTTTGAGTGCACTAGTTTCGGCCTCCATGGCCAGCCAAGGTCGGCTGCCAGTCAGCTGATAATCGAGTTGTCGTTACTCTGGGTATAAAGGGACTCTAATCTGTAATCTGTGGTGCGCTATACACAGGTAGCAGGGTAGCAGGCATAGAGAAAAAAAAGGAGGTGTTTGCATTTCGGGCATCTTGGAATTTTTTGATGACTTGATGACGTAGGTGGGTACAGTGTGAAGGGGACGTCCCTGTACCCAGCTGTACCCACCTACGTCATCAAGTCATCAAAATATTCCAAGATGCCCGAAATGCAAACACCTCTTTTTTTTCTCGATGGGTAGCAGGTACCGTAGTGCACGTGAGCGTTGCTCGTGACACGTGAGTTTTCAGGTGTTCAGATTCCCTTAATTTCAGTTTTTAATTATCTGATTTTTCTGTTTGTCAGTAACAGTGCATATCTCTGCAGCAGGACATTAAAATTGTATCTAATATTTATTTTCACTCGTATCAGACGTCAAGTTGGGTCTGTCTTATCCCATCATTAAGTATTACCTACCCCGAACTATAAATATTGTGCCCAATAAATTAAGCTGGAGGTTGAAATCTTCTAATATTTTCTTTAGGGCATCATTCATACAATGTTTATTACTTCAAGCTGCCATCGTGTGTTTACTGCTTTTAATATTGAGCAAAGATGTCCCCAGCAACTTATCACATCACTCAGTTTTCACTGTATACACATGCCTTTTCTTCCCAATCTTTAATTTTCTTATATTTCATTACATTTGAACGTAAATGACGTAGGTCCTGTTTCTATTTCTTGTGATTATTGAAACTGGAAAAAGCGTTTAAAATTTATAGCAACTGTTTTTTTTTTTTCAGGAATTAAGTCTATTTCACAAGTCTATTTACATTTACAATGGATGAACACAATGAGGAAATGCATGCAGAGAGCCCTGTTGTTTTAATTCCAGAATTGTGTAAGCAGTTCTACAATCTAGGATGGGTCACAGGAACTGGTGGAGGGATTAGTATCAAAGAAGGGTGAGTGTAAATATTTTTGCAAGGCCCTACGTTTTCAAAAAATTTAAAAATTTCGTGTTGACGCTGGTGAATTCCTCACAGGTTTCTGTCTCTATCCTTAAAGGTGCCCTGTCACTTGCACACAATGAGCCTGTTCCAAGGTGCGGGGATTTGCGAAGTGATAGGTAACTGATTCCACTGACAAATTTCACGAAAAGAACGTTGGTGTTACTTAAGCATCTTGTAATGATCTCTCAAACTCCAAAAAGAGCTGTTTTTGGAACCGACACATTTCAGTGTCACTTTTCTATGGGGACGGATCCAGTACGCTCGCTACGTCACAGTACATGACAAACCAGGTCTTTTCATCACATACATAAGGAATTGGCTGTCGCTTTTCAAATGCAAATATCGAGTCAACCAATGATTTTTTGATCCAAATGGAATTCAAAAATGGATTCTTTGGACGTCTAAAAGGTTCAAATCTGCATCAGATGAAGTAGAATCGACGGGATGAACCCTACTTCCAAGGAAATCTGTAACGTGAATGGATGATTATTTATGTCTGTCATAGTGATAACAGAAATTGAGGTTACCTCAATATTCAATTAGTAATAGCCATTTTCATGATTTTTTCCTTTCTCGTCATTAGGTATTTATAGGTAGGTAAGTTATTTTTGTAGATCAACTGTTCAGTAGTAGGGATGGTTGAATATTTAGATAATCGAATATTCAAATTATCGGCACCGAGATAATCGAATATTCGAATTATCGGCTCCGAGATAATCAAATATTCAAATTATCGGCACCGAGATAATCGAATATTCTAATTATTGGCACCGAGATAATCGCATCACACTCGAATATTTGCTTCCAAAGTATTCGAAATCGCAAATTTGAATATTCGAATAATCGTATTCGAATAATCGCATTCGAATAATCGCATCCGAATAATCGCATTCGAATAATCGCATTCGAATAATCGCATTCGAATATTCGAATAATTGCATTCGAATTCGATAACCGTCCATCCCTATTGTCAATCTTGTTATTAATAATTAAAACTCGTCCACAACTCCACACGGGAAATCGGGAATGACTGACCGTCATAGTTAAAAGTGTCATCTATCTCTCATGCCTCATAAAAAATAAAAAATTGAAGCAATAATGGAAAATTTCAAATATTTGCTTCCGAAGTATTCGCAATTGCAAGATTCGAATTCTCAAATAATGGCATTCGAAAAGTTTTGAATATTCCAATACTCGCATTCGAATTCGATATTCATCCATCCCTATTCAGTAGATACCCTAGGATCACGTTTAAAGCCATAACGGAATATATTGATACATATTCATTCAGAATACCCTGCGGCAGTCCAACGCCCAAGTAATGGATGATTTAAAGAACTTACCAGTGACGAAGACCAATCCACACAGGTCAATCATTTCTGAGGACGAGTTTTGGTACTCTACTGCGCAGTGACGTAGTATTGAGTGCCTGCAATGTATTTCTTATGGGAGCACTCAATGCTCCGTCACAATGGGTGCTGCGAGTTAGGGCCGGGCGGGGGAGTGGATTTCAAAAAAGCTGCGCAATGATCGACCTATGTGGATTGGTCTTGCCAGTGACAATAATGATGAGATGAAGAGAGCGGCATGATGAAGATGGAGGCAAGGAAGGTAAACACAGAATCCTTCTTCGGTTAACAGACTTAGCGATACATTTTTCTGCATAGTGTTACATAAAAAATATACTGGATTTTAAAGTAGGTAACAATGAGTGTTTAAAACGTGGGAAAGTTCTGAATAATTTTAAGATGTTTGTTGAAGAGATAATTTACAC